ATGTTTGGTTAAATTTTTATAAAACTGTTCTGCAGGAGCGGGTGGGCTGGACCCTGCTGTCGTTGCTGGTGCAATCCTACGAGGAATTAACACTGCCACATCCTCTAGTCCTGGCTGCACCCTCACCACCATTCGTCTTGTCCTTATTAAGATCAATGTCTTCTTGGCTTTTAAAGAAGAAGCAGCACAAATTTTCCAGACTTTCGGAAGAAGAGGTGAATTTTGTTACAAGTATCTTTGTTTTAGAGTGCTTTTTAAGAATTTCTTATGATGTCGTAGAGATTTTAGTTGAGACAAATATCACAATATTCACAAATATCTTTCACTTATTTTCCAGAATCACAAGTACAGTTGCCTCAGGTGCAACCATGGGCACCTTCACCTCTGAGAGCAGACCAAAGCATCCTTGATATCAGTACTGCGAGCCAGCAGTCTGTCTTCATGTTCCTTGGTCATAGCAGAAAGGATGTTGATGATGCTATGGAAAAATTGAAAAATCAGTATAAGCTTCAATGTTCGAATCATATCTTTGCAATAGAGCAGCTTCAGAGTCTCACAGAAGATGATATTGTAGATGTACAGCAACTGGTGGAGTCAGAGGGTCTGTACATGACCAAGGACCCATCCGGAAACCTGACAATGAATGGTATGAAAGATGGAGTCAACAAAGCAATCGTATTGTTTAATTCATTACTGCATGACAATCTCAGGAGAGAGGTGAGGGAGAAAGATGAGGACGACTTACATATTCGTGTGATGTGGTGCATCCTGGGACAAAATGGAAACTGGGAGAGACTCCCTAAGCCAGCCAATTACAAACTGGAAAAGAAGGATGTTGCTGAAGGAATTGTTGATGCACATGGAGTCACATGGCAGGTGGTTCTGTTTCATTTAGAAGCCGTAACTTCAGGACAAACAACTTCTCTCAAACGTCTTGAGAATCTGGAAGGTGAGGAAGGCAGATTTTTAAAGCTTTTTTAATGTATATCATAGGCTTCAACTCAATCAATTGAATCAAATCTTTTAGCTGTCTGAATTCAAAGGCTGCACGCTTTAAGTTTGGATAGGGAATTGTCTGAAATTAGACACTGTGAAACTGGACAGCATTTACCAGTGGTTTCCCCCCTTACCTCAATGTACAGATCTTTCTCAAAATATTAGCAAATTGTGATAAAGTTCATTATTTTCCATAATGTAATGATAAAACTTGAACATTCATATATTTTAGATTCATTGCACACAAACTGAAATATTTCAGGTCTTTTATTGTCTTAATACGGAATATTTTGGCATACAGCTCATTAAAACCCAAAGTTCCTATCTCACAGAATTAGCATATTTAATCCGACAAAAAAAAAGAAAAGTGTTCTTAATACAAAAAAAGTCGACCTTCAAATAATTATGCACAGTTATGCGATCAATACTTTGTGGGGAATCCTTTTGCAGAAATGACTGCTTCAATGCGGCGTGGCATGGAGGCAATCAGCCTGTGGCACTGCTGAGGTGTTATGGAGGCCCAGGATGCTTGCATAGCGGCCTTTAGCTCATCCAGAGTGTTGGGTCTTGCGTCTCTCAAGTTTCTCTTCACAATATCCCACAGAATTTCTATGGGGTTCAGGTCAGGAGAGATGTGTCAGGCGAAATGAGCACAGTGATGCCATGGTCAGTAAACCATTTACCAGTGGTTTTGGCACTGTGAGCAGGTGCCAGGTTGTGCTGAAAAATGAAATGTTTATCTACATAAAGCTTTTCAGCAGATGGAAGCATGAAGTGCTCCAAAATCTCCTGATAGCTAGCTGCATTGACCCTGCCCTTGATAAAACACAGTGGACCAACACCAGCAGCTGGCAGCCAAGGACAGAAATGGACTTTCTCACTAGTTTGTTCAGTCTCTTTCTGTTCTCTCTACGCTGCCAGAGGCCCAGCAGACAACAGCATAGAGGAGGGCTGTGCCACCACAGACTCTTAGAAGGTTTTAAGCAGGGGGCTGCTCACGGCTCTGGGCCTTCTTATACAAGGCGTAGCTGTTAGGAGTCCAGTTTATTATTGACATGAACACCTCGGAATTTAAAACTCTCATCACTTTCTATGTCCTGCCCCTGGATGTTCACGGGGGAGTGAGTTTGGGGTCTTCTCCTGAAGTCACCATCTCATTGGTCTCACTTGTGTTAAGAAACATATGGTTCTTCTCACACCAGTCGACAAAGTTCATGATAACCGATCAATACTCCAGCTAGTTCCGCTCAGAAACACAGCCTACAATGGCCGAGTCATCGGAAAACTCCTGGAGAAGGACAGCTCTCCGTGTTGTAGGTGAAGTCCGAATTAAATATCGGACAAGTAATTTAATAATGGCAGACTCTTATCAGGTGGATAAAAAAAAAAATATATATCGGCATTAATCTATTTTTAAAGTTGGTTTGGGAGCTAGGTCTATACTAAATAAACTATGATGACTTTCAAGTCCAATTAAATATAAGTTTACTTTATGCTGGTATTTTTTTTTTAGCATATTCTTTCTCACCTATCAACGCTCTGGATAAAACTTAATCGTACAATGTGATATAAAACTATGACAAACAATCATATCGGATATTTTCAGTTATGGGACAAGTTCATTAAATAAAAGAAAAAAATAATTCTAAGTTCTGATTCTAATATGTTTCTAGACTTCACTTTTCCTTTGTACTGGGAGAGCATGGATAGCGATGAAGACATGAAGGTGGTACCTCTGCAGCCTAATTCGGAAGAATACAAAAGAGTGAAGGAAGGATTCAAAAGGACTGCTGGCAAAACTGTTATGAAGGTTGGTGGTTTCCATTAAGAACTACAG